TTGGAAATTTATTGTTTTCTATCTACCTTTTGGCTTTTTTAATGATAATATACTGTTGGAACATGCAGTTTTAAGATCAATAAGTTGCAGGTCGTAAAGATAGAACCTTGTTACATGTTTTATGCAAATTTCAATTTTTTTTTCAGGTTGATAACTGGTTCTTATTAGAAATTTTTTGAAAACGTGGATTCATATATATCAACGACGCAAAAATGTGCATGTTGTTGCCCATAGTGTAATGTAGATCACTTCATGTAGTGTACATGACAGCACTTGAAATATGCATTATAATGCATCGTGACTTTGTGGTGCACTTTTTTTTCAATAATAGTTATGCATTTCTTATCCTGCTGTTTTAATATTTATTTGTTTGGTGCTTAATCTTCATCTGATTTTGTGGATTCCTAATAATATACTGTGATTTTGTTTGATTATTATTGTTCAGTTGCTCAATTAATGCTGCATTCATTAGCTAGAAGAAATAATAAAAAAACATCAAATTTAGGCCAAACATCTCAAAAAGGTTTAACAATGGAAATATTGGGTGTATCCTTAACTTTCATGCAGGTGAAAATTGTATTCATACGGCATTGTTAACTTATTTATGCATTAATAAATTATTCATGATATTTTAATATTTTGCATATTTTTATAATTGAGCTCCATTCATTATACGGTATGACTTCATAAGACTTTTGTACTATAGTTTTTTATGCACTTTTAACAAGTATGAGTGGAAACTTGGATTTGCTTGCAGTACTCTACTTTTTTATCATGCGGCTAACCAATGTTAATGAAAGTTACAGTATGGAGAGAGTTTGTTTGGGGTGCTTTGGCTGGTGCTTTTGGGGAAGGCATGATGCACCCAATTGACACGGTAAAGACAAGGATTCAGAGCCAGGCTATAATCACTAGGAGTCAGGGGCAAAAGAACATATTGCAGATGATCCGAGCTGTCTGGGCGTCCGATGGTTTAAAAGGTAAATTTTTGTATCTTAAAAATTTTATATAAGCTTAACCATTTCCTTCACATGACCCGTGTTTTTCTGCATGTTACTGATGAACAAAAACTTCAGAATCGACTAATTTCATTTTATGCATATTTCCTCTTTTGTTAGGGAAGGCATTATGTTTCTTATTTCAAGTTCCTTGTGTAGAAGGTTCCAAATAGTTGTTCTTTTTAAGGGGGTGTTAAGTTTTTAGCATATCATGTTCTGCTATGCCTTGCCAGCATGTTTACATTTGCCTTAGAGAATGCCCTGTATTTAAAAGCTAATTAGTGTACATCTCTTTGTGCTGCTTACGAATGTTTTTATTTGAAAGCTAATTCCATTTTCATTCATTTGTTTTTTCTTTAGGATTTTATCGAGGCATCGCTCCAGGGGTAACTGGATCACTCGCAACAGGAGCAACATACTTTGGTGTTATTGAATCTACAAAGCAATGGCTAGAGGTTGTGAACCCTAACTTAGGCGGGCATTGGGCACACTTCATTGCTGGAGCCATTGGTAAGAAACTTTTTTCCTTCAATTCTTCAAGGATTCTCTTCATTGACATGATCCTCAAAAATTTTAGAAAAAATAGTTCTCTTATGTTTAACTAATTGGTGTGAGATTTTTTTCTTGGTATATGCTTGTGATGCTACTTTTCATCTTGTTGGGATTGAAAAATTAAGCAATGCACCAAATCCTATGTTCATCATGATTACTTTTTTTCTTAGATTTTTTTT